ATTTATATTTAAATTTAAATTTTTTCAGAACAAATTTTAAATAAATTTTATATGATAAATATTTCTTAAATATAAATATTATAAAAATTATTTAATTAAAAAATATATTATAAATATAAAATAGAAAGATAAAAAATTTTTAGAAAAAAATAAATAATTATAAATAAAAAATAAATATTATATATTTATATAAAATTAAAGTAACCTGGAATTTAAAAAATTATATTTTTTATTTTTATAAAAATTAATTTTTTTCACAAAAAATGAAAATTTTTTTATTTGAAAAAAAATAAGAATTTTAGTTTTATGAAAATTGTATTTTTTTGTAAAAAAATTTTGACAAAAAATAAAAAATTTTTTTAAAATAAAAAAGTGAAAAAAAAAAAAAAAATATAAATTTATTAAACCAAAATCCTAAAATAAAAAAAAAAAAAAAAATTTCAAAAAATAAAATGTTAAATAGAAAAATTTAAAATCACAAAATTCATAAATTTTTGAATTTTTAATATAAATTTGATATAGATAGAATTTTTTAAAATTAATAAAAAAATATTTTAAGTGAAAACTTACAAAAAAAACATTTACAATTTAATTGATAGAAAAAATTATAAAATAAAATTTTTTTTTAAAAATTCATATAATTAAAAATTTTCTATAATGTTAAAAATAAATTTAAAAAAAAATATTTATATTTTTAAAATTGAATAAATATTTAAAATGTTAATAAAATATTTATTTTTTATAATGTATTAGCCCAAATACAAATGACAAGAAAAAAATTAATAAATTTTTAAAAAAAAATCTTTTTGAAAAAAAAGAATCTGTAAAATTTAAATTTTAATAAATATCAATATTTAATTATTATTTTTATAACAATATATATTTAAAATAAAATATATATTAATAAAAATTTTTACAGAAATATCAAAAAGGAAAATTTTTTAAAATTTTGGTAAGAAAATTTTTCTTTTTGATTTTATTCATATAAAAAAAAAAAAATTTAAAAATTTAAAAAAAACTTTCAGTTTTAAATTTTTGATGAAAATGTTTTAAAAATTAAATTAAATAAAAATAATAAAATTTTTTCATTAAAATATTTTTTAAATTTATTGAAAAATTTTCATATGAAATATTTATATTTAATATTTAAATTTTTAAAAAAATAGAAATATTTATAAATTAAAATTTATAATAAAAACAAAAAAATATCAAAAATAAATTTAATTATTATGTATTTCATTTTTTTAAACAGACAAATATTAAAATTTAATAATAATATATAAAAAATTTTTATTTTATAAATGAAGCAAAAATTATAAAATATAAAAAAAAATTTTTAAAAAAACTTTTTTAATTTATATTTTAATATTTTATATATTAAAAACTAAATTTTTTAAAACAAATTTTTTTTCAAAAATATATTAATTTTTAAAAAAAATTTTCTTTATCAAATTTTATAATAAAATTCATAAAATAAAGTTCAAAAATTTTCTGTTAATATTTTTAAATAAAAAAATAAAATTTTTATTTATTGATATTCAAAATTTTGATATAAAAATTTTTTAAATAATCTCTAAAAATTCCATCTAATGATTAAAAAAATCCAAAATAAATAATTTTATAATTTTTAAAATATTTGAAATGAGAATATTTTTAAAAAAATTATTTGAAAAATTTTAAATATTTTAATT